TATATATATATTCTACTTTAATTGTTTAAATATTTATTATTTATTATGTTATTATTTATTTATTGAGCACTGTAACACCGCCTAAAAGTTTGACTTAAAATTCAATTAATTTTTTTAAATATATATTTTCTTTTTCTTTCGTTTTTTTGAAGAGATGTTTTTAAATTATTATGTCCTTTTATGTCTTTTTTTATGTTTCGCTTTCTGAGATGACTTCTTTTTATTTGATGGTCAAATGTGATTCTCTTTGTTTAGGCATGGTCACCGATACCATAAAGTCAGATGAGAGCTTTATCCCTAAGAATAAGAAGAACATCAAAATATGGTTTAGCCCAAAGAGTCGTAAAGTACGCTGTTGCATTGAGAAACCTGTTGACTCAAACAAATCAAATGAAGTCCAGGGAAAGAAAGCCGATATGTCACCTTCTTCCAAGGACCTGTCCGTCTTCAACTTCACCTCTTCCTCCCAGGAGTCTGGGTCATCCTCCCCTCCACGGGGGAAGGCAAATAAGAAAATAAAGAAAAAAAGGATCAGCCAAACCTGCAAACAAACCCGTGTTGGTCAAAGGCCTAAAACATGGACTCAGACTATGCAAGAATGTAAGAGGCTGAAGCTGGAGGCTATCAATCAGCAGTGGGCCTTTGGAAAAGAAGGTTCTAGAGACAACAAGAATGAAGAGGACAAGAAAGTGAGCTCTGGAGATGACAACAGGAGGTCCAGTAAGAGTGTTTCTTTCCATTTCCCTCGCAGCCAGCCTGAGGAAACTCATAAGGCTGTCCACCAAGAACAGAATCAAATTCCCAGTCCCCAAAAAAGCATCCCAAGCAATTTGGAAGTTGAAGGCACTGAGAAGCAAAGCTCTGCAGCTTTTTGTTCACCATGTTACGATCAACAGGTTGAGCCTGTCACTGATATCCCACAAGAATCCAATGAAAACACTCCAGGGCCTCCTCAGCCTTCCCTTGCCAGTGTGTGTAAGAGAACCAGAGAGGATCGGGACAGTGATGATCCACAGAGAATGCCAAAACAACCCAGAGCAACTTCAGGATGGAAGAAGAGATCATTTCGAGAAAGAACTGCTTCAACTGAAGACTGCTCTCAGAGTCTGAGAACATCCAGACAGTCCAATGAGAAGCAGAATGTGAACCCAATCACACCAGCTACCCCTGACCTTGGGAGGAAATCTTCAAGTGTGAGACACAAACAGGCGAATCCTGCTTACATGAAGAGGAACCACAATGGAGAAACGCCACTGCATTTAGCTGCCATAAAGGTTTGTGTTCACTTATATCTGCATGTTGGCAAAATAACATCAGTTTGTGCTAAAATAGAGTTTCAAGACATGGAAAATGTTTTGTTCTCCCTTTTAAAGTAGATAAGTACAGTAGGAATACACAATATACATTGGTTCCATATTGATGATTTTTTTTTAAACCTGGTAGTCTGTATTGACTGATATTTGATAATTGCATATTTTGTGCATGCTTTGTTTATGCTGTTTTTCTGTCATCTAATGCTGACTTAAAATTAAAATATAATAAAACTGTTAAATATAATAT